TATATATATATATATATATATATATATGAAGAAGATTTCTTATTAAGTTGTGACACAGTAAGAACTCTGCAGGGGCTCACCTGCATCTCCTTCTCTCCGTACTTTGAAGGGTTCTTACTGCCCTGGCTCTTTCTTCTGAGCTTCTTCAGTTCACCCTGGCATTTTTCCAGACTCTCCCCTTTGCTCTTATGTTCCATCTGGTATTTTTTCAAGGCAGCCTAAAAGGAGAAAGAAGCAGTTCAGAGAGAATAAAATCACACTTTTTGCATAATCAAATGTTTTTAAAGGTTTTAATCAAAGAGACAGAACATGTTTTATTGAAATATATGCAAACCAAAAAAAGAAAAACGATCTCTAGATTTAATTTATCAAAGTAAAATATAAGAACATCTTTAGTCAATTTCCCTTTTTAGAATTAATTCTATCACCACATTCAAATCAGGTATAGCTGAACACAGTAACACATCCACATTAACACAGATATTTCCTGTTGCATTTGCTCCTCTTTAGAGTGAGGAAATGAAAAAATAAAAATAAAAAAAATCCAATGAACACTTAAAAGAATCTCTGTGGTGTATTGCTATGGACCAGATATCAGTTTATGTTCAACAATATTATAGACTTAATTTAGTCAGATTAGATAAGAGCAACCATGCTGATGAAGATTCTCAGTCATCCAGGTTATAGTCATTCTGTAAATTTAAATAAAAAATGTTTCTAAACTTTTACGGAAAGAGCAATCATGATGATAAATTGTGGAAAATCTGGAAGAAAATCGGTTAATGGATGCATAAGAAAACAACGTTTAAATGTATATCCAAACCCAATCCAGAATCTGTGGCAATGTTTAAAAACTGAGGGTAAAATATTCTCTTTAATTATGAAAAAATAGCAGATTTCACAAAGAAAAATAGGTAGAAATGTCATGCTTTTGATGTATAAACTGGTACCGGTAGATATGCATGTGCAGTGAAAGGTGGTTTTACACAGAACGAACCCTGTGGTGCTGACAACATATGCACAGATATTACCCCCCATGTTGGGGGGGAAATGGACAACATAAGCACCCGGTGTCATAAAAACCCCCAATGCACTCTCTCCTGGTGATAGTCATGTTCTCTGATGTGTCTATAGAGGCATCTGTTTCTGCTGACCTTCACTCTCTGTTTTGACTGACTATTAGTCACTCTGTTAACCGTTCCACTCGTGACACCACTCAAGCCCCCTGGTGCCTGCTAGACGTGCCAGCTCTTAAAAAGGCTAACTATTTGCTTACCCATCAATGATATTCATGTGCCCCAAACTCAAAATTAATTATCTCTTTTTCTATTCAGTTTTTAATTATAGCAAATAAAAACATTTAATTTTCCTCCTGTTCAATTTTCATCCCATAATACTGTCGCATTTCAACCCAAGGTTATTTTCTTTCTCTGTCAGCATCCAACATCCAATCTCATACAGGTATACGTTTGTTTGCTTTCAACAGGAATCACAAGATTCTGTTTCAACAAGTCCAGAGAAGTAATGAGAAGACTCTGGAGGTTTTACATCTATACCCTAATGAATCAGAGGATTATTAAACAGATACTTGTAATGTTAAGGCTGAGAAATGTATGTCAATTACAGGTCATGGGGGATATGAGCTAGCATCATTCTCTCTGTTTTATCTCTGTGTTAGAAAAGGCACAGAAAATTCTTTCAACAATAAAGGAAGTGCTGGAATTATCTGGGTCTTAAACTTTATGTTCTCTATTGATTTATTTACTGGCTTAGCTTTGAATTGAAGAACTTCTTTGATCACGTATCTGTGAGCATCTGCTGCAAAAGCCCATCCCTTGTTAGGGCTGATTTTCATCAGATAACACAAACAATCAGATATCGGTGACAGCCTGTGAGGACAACAACACAAGCAAGGTTCGCTTAAAAAAACAAAAAGTGTTAATAACTCAATCTGTTTGATTTTTTGACTGTTTAGCTGGATTATTTCTGTAATAATAATAATAATAATAATAATAATAATAATAATAAACAGCATTGTTTCCTTGGCTTTATGAGCTCTGTTGCTATAGTAACAGTGTGTGGTTTGAGAAAGCTCATGTGGTCCCTACATTTGACAAGATTAGAAGGAAAAAGAGGCATATGCACAGGGGTTCCAACACCCACATTTGCATCCTGGATGAAATGGGCACATAAACAGGTATTTTCAAGGTACTCTGAAAAGGAACAGAAATTGGAAACGGTTGCTTCAGACTAGCAGCAGGACATGCAGTGTTTGCATTTCATTGAAGAGATATTTTCAATAATCACCGATCTATTCAATATGTTTGAAAATGGACCAAATTAGGTCTTTGGACCTTTATCAGCTTTCAAATGCATTAATGATAAAAAGGGATGAGTCATCTCCTCATTTTCTCCTGTTGTTCGAGGTAAAGTGATACAGCCAACACAGACTGCCTCGCTGGTGGCATTCAGAATTGATCTCACAGAAACTGGGGCTGGTGTTGGGAAATAACTCCTAGATTAACAAAAAATAGTCAGATAACCCCTCCCATTTTCCTTGTACTGAAAAAGCAAACTCCGGTTAACCAACATGGAAAGAACAGATAACCACTGTTGATAAATCTGTTTAGAAACAGTAGGGTCAGTTAGGTTTCTGACCACATTCCAATCTTTATGAAAGGATTGACATGTGATCTAAAATGTTATGAGATCTATCGTGTGAAGCAAAATCAATGCATTTTACTAGTACGTAACAGACCAATACATTTTAATCTATCTATCTATCTATCTATCTATCTATCTATCTATCTATCTATCTATCTATCTAGTCATTTTCTTAAATGCAGCTATACAGTAGCAGACATTCATAATTTTCCTACTTTCCTTTATGTGTCCTTGGCTGGTCCCTTACAATTAATATTTGTACTAAAACACTCTGTCTGTGATTTGTGGACATTAAGATCTAAAGAGAAGCGTTATCTCCTGGTCAGACCCTGACATTCAGTGAAAGGGTGGAGTCAGAGTAAAGAAAATTCAAATCCAACATCTCTTCAGTAAGAGAATTATTCCAATGTTAAACACTGAAGTTAGGTTCAGTTAAACCTACAACTGCCGAGGGTCATTTGAACCTTAAATAATAGAAAATGCTGTGTAGACAGCTGCTCCTACCTTTGGAACATCACTATCTCAACATGGCCCCAAGAATGTTGATTTATTTTTTTTGTACAGCTGACAAATACAGATAGCTTTGCTGTGTAAGGATATTTACTTAATGACTGAAAAGGTACATGGAAATACTGCTTAGAATGATGTTAACATCACAATTTTGATATATTATGAGGCCATAATATCAAATTTGTGATCTTAATATTCTAAGCAGTGTGCAGATTAGGAATTGCTTTGACAGTATTGGGTGCAATTCTTTTATCCAAGAACCATGCGCCCTCTAAGACTTTGTATAATTGGTTGGCACTTTTTATAAGGTAGAGCGGTGATAAACCGAGGAATTAATAAAAAAAAAAAAAACACCCTTTCATACTGAGCTGTGCTTTTAAGAATTAGAGATCAGAATTTGTTTCAATGTTTTAAAAAAAATTATGGATTTCTTATCTTCTGATAAGATGTTTGTCTGAACCCAAAGAAAATGGATATTTCAAGCATTTATTTATTGTAAGTCATATAATTAAGTCAGAATTTACCAATCATATCAAATATTTTATCAACATTGTGCAGCCATATTGCAAAACGCAGCAAATTTAACTAAATTGACAGGGCAACGGCCTCCTGAAAAACCAGTATGAAAAGCAGAAAAAAAAAGGTACATGGCTGCAAAAAACTTTGAGTATGCAGTAAAGTTTCTTAAAACTTGGATGCAGGGTTTGGACCGGTAAACAACATTAAAGATTAAATAGGTTTTGGCACTGATTCAGAACATCAGTGTGCAGTATTTGGAGATAATTAAAAGAAACCTTAGAGAAGCTGATGAAGATAACCCTAAATAAATAAATATAGGCAAATATTCCAGCAGAGGTTTGAACTAAGAAATTTCTTTTCCCCCAGATGCCTATATTAAATATGCACTCAGCATATGATTGAGTCCCTGACTGCAGCTTTGTGTCATGTATGGCCTTATATAAATTTAATTATGAGCTGATTGAGATATTTATATAACAAGTATGTTTTTGGCCAAAAAAAAAAAAAAAAAAAAAAAAAAAAGGTCAAACATGTAATGGGCAAGTGAAATAAAAAAAAGTCCAAGTATTAATACAAATAATACAAAACATTAAATGTTGAGCAATTAATTCTTTGCAGGCTTTGTTGTGCATATTATTTTGGACAAGGGATACTTTTATCAGAAAGCATTGTGGGAGTAGTTACTCAATTATTAAAATGTTCTGTCATAGTTACAAATATTCCATTATTACTAAAGCTTTTTTGGTCTCAGATAAATAACTAGCATAACATATCACTAAATATACATTTAAATATTCTTTAAAATATCCCCTGCTCAACTTTTACCCATCTTATCTTTTGAAAATCCATAACTCACTTGAACTAGGAGTAAAATTAGCCTTTTAAATTTTAACAGTTTTAAACAGTTTTCACTTTTTAGGCTCCTCTAACAAAATCTAAGACAAATCCCTCTGGCAATTCTACGGGTATCCCAATCTTAGTGGTTCTAGGCAAACAGTAAGTATAATGAGCAAACAGAGTCCATCTTTGCAAATGGAAATACAATATAAGTGTGGCTTTGAGGGCCTCAACCACTTTTTACAGAACATTGATGAAAACAGCATCATGGATGCTAAGGAACTCAGCCAGGTCAAATATAAATTGTTCAGAAGGCTTAAATATTTTTTAAAATATAAAATACTCCAAGGTTTCATACAGATCATAAATACTTGTGTAGAAAGAGGCACAAATCTATCGTCAAGTAGCTTTCTTGCAAGTATAGCATCAATCCGAGCAGCAGCAATAGGTTCATGAAAGCTATAGACAATCTGCAAAGATGGGCTGTACATGCAGATTTGTATGTTCTGCTACTATCCTGTTTATCTATTCTCTTTTTTTTTTTTAAAGCATTCAATCTAAATATTGTGGGTTTTTTTGGCGTTGATTACATTTTAAAAGATGAGAAACCAAAATTAAATTCCTTGTTTCCTTGTTAAACACAACTCCTTTAGTGGACTGATATTCTGACAACAGTATACCTGACTGTAAACCTAAGATTTATAATAAAGTATTAAAAGATGTTCCAAGAAATTTTTGTTTACAATTAAATTTAAACCTTTAGAATGAGGTACACCTTTTTAAGAGTGTGACCCATCAAGTTTTTTTTAGGACTGAGGCCGATACAAATGATTCTGACATCGGTCGAAACGATCGCCAGTATGTGATGCAAATTTTCTAAGAGACTATTTTTGAAGGTGATATCGTTTTTTTTTTTTTTCTCCATTTATTCGATGAAAATGACAGAATGATAATCATTATATAAGTCTCAATTCAGACACAAAGTAAAAATGTATTATACAAATCAAACAAAACATTAACAATGGATAGTTTTGTAAATGGAGGGAGTTGCACTTCACTTGATCTCAAGACATGGCTGCTGAATGCACTAATAATTCGGCTAAAGAAATGCACATTTCAGAAGATACAGGTACAAGCAAAAAAGCTACCATCAGCAGACCAATGTATCGGTCTATCTTATCAAGCTGTGTGATTTCCCCAAAACTAAACACCTTGCCCAACAGGCATCACACTTATAAAACATGATGGCAGCAAATTAGTAGGTTGAATCTAAGAAATTTGTGTAATGTATTGATTGTATGTATATGATTAAAAAAAAAAAAACTAAAAACTTTTTCTTTTTTTTTCCCGGAATGAAAAACTACAGGCCTAAAATGTTAAAAGCATATGTTTTAGAATGGCCCACGAAAAATCGTGACCAATATTTAAACCAAAATATGACTGAGAGGAATTTATGTTCACAGACCCTCTAAATGTCAAAAAGAATTTGCAGAAACATAAAAATACTTGAAGTTCTAATTGCAGGTTATTGTACAAACTATTGACCCTGTGGCAGTGAATTCAAATGCAAACCAAGCTCTTATTAGAATGAAACATTTTGTGCACCTTTTAAAAAAATGCAATATTTTCTAATTTGTCAGTAAAATAAAATGGTTCCAAGATGCCAAAACATGGAAAAAGAGTTCAAGAGTTCTAAATAATTTTTAAGGTAATCCCAGTATTTGTTTGGATAATAATACAAAGATATCGATGGAAACTAGAACAACTTGCTTAATGTGTTAGTAATTACAATGGGGTTGCCTTAGGATGACAGAACTGTGACTGCATCTGAATTAACCTTTGAATTTGAAGTGAGTTTCAGCTGACTTATTTTTAAATGCTGTTTAAAGTGTGTATACAAGGAGCTGTGCGCTAATACAGCTCATAACAGGGTTCTTCCAACAATACAATAATGAAAACATTTACCATCCCCCAAAACGACGCACAGTGGTACTGCTGTACACTTCGGCTGCAACCCACTCATTCTAAAGATATCACATGTAGACCCACTTTGCAGCACTTACACACGCTCCATGAGGAGCTTATTATTATCAATCTACCCTCGATAGTTTAATAGACATGAAATGTTACAGACTTAAAACCCAAACCTAAGAAAAACAGCTTAAACAGCAAAGCTGTTATCACTTAATTTGAATTCGGCCTTGTCTGCTCTGGTTCAACAATGTAAGCATTTCCAAAAATAAACTACTGCAGTGTACTTTTTAAGCATTCTTCTGATTCAGGAAACCAAGCGACGCATGTAGATACTTACAGTCAAGTAGCGAGCATCCAAATCCACCTTCTTCTCAAGCTCCGAGAGCAACTCATTGTGGAAGCATTTCAACTGAAAAATAAACCAAAAGGAAAACAGAAACGTCTCATTAAACAGGAATGGTTTCACAGAAGACGTTATGAATGCCTTGACAAACAAAGTGCTGGCTTGTGAAGTATCAGTATATTTCAATAAAGGTTTTGGTTCAAGATTTTATTAAAATGTAGAAAATATTTTGAATATTTGCTGAGTATACCACATGTAACTTGATATGTAATGCAATTATTTAGTCATTTTTTAATACATTTGATAATTTTTACTACTTTTTATATTTTTCTAAATATCCTGCATTGTCAGAATTCAAGCCTGAAAAATATATTCTATAAAGTGTTCAACTGCAAATAGCTTCCTGCATCCATATACATTAAAGTTTATATATATATATATATATATATATATATATATATATATATATATAAAAAAAAGACAATAAATAGTTTTATATCCTTTGCGATTTAAAGATTGTTGAATAAGATTCACAGCTTCAGATGCATAGAAAAACTTACATAATCACCTCTATTTTGAAATTCTTTTACTTTTACTATTTTAACAGTGCCTTGGTGTAGCTCCTCAAAATTACATTTACCCAACTGTCAAGGATCAACATTAGCTCTTTATCCCTGTTTCAAAGAGTTTTGCATCAAAGATTTATTTAAAAGATATTACATTTGCATTTTGTCTCTAACAAAATGAATAACTGCCAAGTCATTACAGAAGGTCAGATTATATCTGTAGTTCTAATAAAGTTTCAGTGCTTAGAAAATCCTTAATATTTTAGGTATTGATCTAAATTTTATAAGATAAAGGCAGTAGTGCTTGTTACCTGAATGTGTGGAGAGAAACCCACAGGTGATCACTCATAAAACCTTTTGTATCTCAGGTATGCAAATCAGGGTCTAATTTCAGGCGATATTAGCATTTTTGTCTTGTATCGGCTGATATGTGCTTATTTAGGCCAATTCATTGTGCATTCAGGAGCTATGGCTTGAAATCATGTGACACGCATTCATTGCTGCTCCATCCAGTTGCTATCAATTGTTAATATGTTTTCTCAGTAGAAGTATTTTTGTTTTAATTGAGACTTGTGTAACGTGTTATTTTATTTATATGTGTTATATATTATACATTCTCTTCCACATCATGTAAATAAAGAGAAAGCAATATTGGCATAATTGGCAAAAAAAAAAACATTACACCAGTTACAGTGATATCAGAATGATCTCATCTGCATTTAAAAAATAAAAACCTATATTGGTCAATCTCTGGTGCAGATTAGAGTGGCTGGTTACTTAGCGTTTTAAACTAACAGTACTGAAACTGTAAAAGGGCTACTAAAAAGATGCCATTATTTTTTACCTAACATGCTATAAAAGCTAAGTTAATGTTCAAATTATGTTCATAAACAGTTAAAAAAAATTGACTTATCAAATGCAGGAGAATTTTGACCATGACACTAAGATTGAAGGACAAGCATTTCCTAATGCATTTTTGGCCCAAAGCAAAATTTCCACATATTATTACTAATAACTCTAATTTTTTATGGAAAATTTGTATCATAATTTTGCTTGAAAATCAAAACATCTAAGGCAACAAAATGTCATTATGTTAATAACATTGACACCTTTCTTGAGGTCAATCCGCAAAAAAAAAAAAAAAAAAAAATTCACTTTAGTTTTGAATTCATCTTTGCCTTCTATGACAACCAGAGGCAAAGAGTAACTGGTCAAATTTACTTCAGTAACAAAATGTACACCAAGAGTAATTTTACTCTAACCTTTTACGATTACATGAGCAACATTTTTTAATTCAACACTACCCTTATTTGAGTCAAATTTCTGGCTGCTCACCTCTGGTTATTTTAGTGAACAATAAGGAAAATTGTTTAGATTAAAAAAGCTACAGTCACATGTGCAGCGTCTGGTATGTCACTATTGTTTTTCATTGACAGGTAATGTCAATATGGAGTAAAAGTAGAGTCAGTTACTTCAGGTTGTTTGCTCTGTTCTATCATGAGTGTCTTTCCTACGGTATGGGGGAGTGGTGGCCCTAGTGGTTAGGGCATAGAGCCTGGAATCCTGAGGTTCTGAGTTTGAGCCCCACTCCACAGACTTCATCTCTGGGTCTCTGATCAAGACCCTTAACCCCACACTGCTCCCAGGGCGACCCATTATGGCAGCCCACTGCTCCCCGACGGGATGGGTTAATAGGAAGAGGTAAATTTCTCCAATGTGAGACCAATACAAGTTCAATTATATTATTATTTATGTATTGATTTCAAAGTTATAATGGAACTCCAGCCATACTACATTTGCGTCTTTCAATGTGGCAGGGTAAAGGGGTGGGTTTTGTTGGACGTGTGCACTGCCAACAAACCAACATGATTCGCTGGTGCTTCAGTTGAACTAACTGCAAAAGAGATGATTTAGCTGCAGACCTGTGTATAGAGTCTTAATTGGAAGGGAATGAAACTAAGGTGAAAAGGGACATATTTCAAAATAAATTTCTCCATAAACTTTAAATGAAAACCTTTACAGACTTGTGGAGTCACTGCAAGCCACACAGGAGGGAGAGATAAGCCACAAGCCACCCACTCCTGTATTACAAGTCAAACTCATATGATTTTATGCTCCTTTGTAAAAAAAAAAAAAAAATCTTATTTTGCAGGATGGCAGTTTTGAAAGAAAATCTTAAGAGTTTAAATAGAAATTATATTTTACTGTATTTTATCTGGTATATCAAGGACTTCAGGTATAAATCTTTGTTATGAAGACATGAACTGTTGTAGGAACATCTTGAAGCAATAAAAATAAATTTGTTTTTGCATCCTTGTAGTAACTTGTTCCTCTGTGCATATATTTGTTAAAATATTCCAATAGATGAAGTCATTGTTAAAACACACAACCGCAAACCACTTTAACTCGGAAATACCAACCATTTCCTCAAGCTGCACTTGGATCTGTCTGTGGACCTCAGCCATCTGGAACAGCACGTCCCCTTCACAAGGAGAAACAGAGACATGGAGAAAACAGTATAAATAACCTAAAATACAAACAAAAATAGGATAGAAGAAGAAAACTGGGAGGAAAAAAAAGTTCAAATGAGAAAAGCAAGAGAGAACCGTCAACCCCAACATGCAAAGCACGTGCACAAACACAAGACACATAACATACGTGACAGTAGACGTTTAACTGGGGTAATGAAGAACACAATGGAAGCTTGTTATGAGATGAAAGAGACTGAAACAACTTCATATAAAACTGAATGAAAAAAAAAAAGGAAGCAAGCTAGATTTTAAAGCTTGTGCTTTTTTAAAAGACATCAATATGTCTTCTGGATTATTAAAGTAAAAAGTTTATAGCCTTTAAAATAAATCAAATAAAATATAGAAAAATAAAGAAGGGGCATGCAACTACAATTATCTTTCATGTACCTACAGTCTGCCTCTTCTGAAATTGCAGTGCATTGTCAAGAAAAACAAGAAGCACATTGAGCCAAGGACACGTACAAAACAGAGACCTGGTGGAAAGACTCAAAAATCCAAACGTACAGGAAAAAGATGAGACTGACATTTTCTTAAACTGTGTGTCCAAACCCTCTAAGTTCAGTTGAAATTGTACAAGTTTTCAGCACAGTGAGTTACAGGTCTTGAAAGCAATTAGCTTAAAATGAATGAAGAACAAGTCAAACTTTGAATATCTTGAAAGGAGCAGCCTCCCTTCAGCAGAACTTCATTTTGCTTTTAGACTTCTACTAGGGATGTTAAATGTAAAAGTGTGTCAGCCAACTTCAAAATATCTGTCATTGTATGGACATAATCATACTGGAGAAAGGATCATTAGAGAGACCTTAGCGGAACCTGCATGCTGACATCTGATGTCAGTTTTCTTTTCTGGCTCATTTCACATTCTCCTGCTGCGTCCTCTTAGGAACGATGACCTATTAGCAGCGCCTCTTAGTCCATCTCACAGAGCTATGCTAGTGAAGTTTGATCTCCTGCAGAAGTTAAGTAAAAACTTTAACTCTGCAACCAAATGCGCTAGAGTGGCTCTTAATTTACTGTAAGCAGAGAGCAAGAGAAAAGAAAACAAGAGGACAAAGAAATGACTGATGGAGCAGACTTGGACAGTGAAGCACAAACTTTTTATACCTTCAGCCATACTAAAAATTTACCAAATTAAGACTGAAATAATCAGTCGGATTAATTGATTATTGAAATAATCATCAACTAATTTATTAATCGATTAATCATTAACTGGAGTATAGAGAATCTAAAACGTATCTTTAGCTTACAGAGCGACCCACTTAGAGCAGTATTATACCAAAATTGTAAAAAAAAAAAAAAATTATATATATATATATATATATATAAACATTTTGCATTTAAGATGAAAAAAGTAAAAATTTTCATCTGTTAATGTTCTCTATCCAAAACTCCTGATGTGGACAAATTTTACTGTCACCTGGTTTAATTTCATAAAAATCTTCTCTAAGGAACCTTTGGCCATTTATTTTATAACTTTTTAACTTTGGCCATCTGATTATTAATCGATGAATCAAAAAAAAAATAAATAAAATAATCGACAGATTGATTGACTTTCAAAATAAACATTAGTTGCAGCCCTAAATCAAATGCAGTACTGATGGAGGTAATGGGAGGTAACTGCTGATCTTTTAATTGAGGCAAATTTACTGCCAAACAGGGTTTAGGTTCAAACAACTATTGGTTCAAAATGAAAAATCCTCTGAAAAGGCAATAATATTCTCAAGGCCATCATACCCATGCCTTGCCCCTGCCTGTGCCTGTGCAAACGCCTTTATAAAAAAACATAGGAATGTTTTTTGTGTGCAATATTTAGCAATATCTTGCATAACCATAGTGTATGTTTTACTTGGCAAATTAAGATATTCAGTAACTGTCCCTAATGGACTCATCTCTCTCTAACCCAAAAGGAATAGCAATTTTGCCCATGTTGCAACCTGTCTGCTGATCTTCTGCCTCACAGAAACAGAGGAGAGGCCAAAGCATCCAGTCAATTCCCAGCAGGCCTTCTAAGCAGCTTACACATCCCTGATCAGAGCCCTCTGAGCTTAGAAACTCTGCCATTCTGTTGGCTTCAACTAGATGGATTAATTAACTAATGAGCATCATCACTAGACTGCAAAAGAAAATCACAAAGATGCATATGTCATCTGATAATACAGCAGGGCAAGGGTTTACAGGGAGCCAAAAAGCTGAAAAGTGATTGCATTTCCATGGCATCTTTACTCATCTTCTCTATTTTCATCACTGCACACTGTAAAAACCCAAGCCACAGAGAAAATATACAGAATATCACACTCTGGCAATGTAAATGGTTACCATGGCAATTCCAATATGAGAGCCCATGACAACAGTAACAGGAAAATGATGCTGGAAAAAAACATGTGAATTTTAGCATCTGATACTCCAATCAGTGATTTGTAATGAGACATAATGAGAGGAATTAAATGCAATGTGCCACTTTCATGTTTGTCCTAGAAAATGTCTGGCAGGTATTACATAATGTACAAGACTCACCTACGAGCTATTGGTCTGAACTCTGGTAAATACATGAATGTATTATGACACGTTGATAACCACAGGGACAAAACAGAAAACAAGCACCGGTATATAATAACAGTGGTAAATGGACCTGTGCCATTACCGTTTCAATATTTCCAAGCTCACTAGTAACATTGAATGTTTCCATGGTGCACAGAAAACAATAGTTTCTTTGTACAGGAGCTATGCACCTGCAGCTCTGCAACAAGCAGACACATGTCTGCTAGCTTAAAACACTGAGTCAGGTAGGGACACATGACTGCAGAACTTGTGTGCCTACGAACAGACTCTACCCTGAAGTGTGACATCAGCTTGTGCACTGTGGATGTATTGACTCCTTGTGTAACAGCAGTGATGTTACACCCACACAGGTGGAGAGAGAAAAAACAGAGAGACAGTAACAGAATGTGGGCTATCTAGTAGGAAAAAAAAAGTGGAAGTTTGCAATGCTGAACAGGGAGAATGAGAGAGAAGAATGGAGGTGGATGGAGAGACACTGAATCACTAGTGAAGGTCAAACCAGATTCACCAGGGGTTGTCATGGAAGCAGGATAATACTAGGGTTGTTGCCATGGGAGAAGCCATAAAACGAGAAGCAATGCTTGAAAAACGTTGTGTACTAAATCCCATTTAGAAATCACCTCCCTTACTATCAGCTCGTGTTACATAAGAATACACACCACGCTTCTAAAGAGAAGTGTGGTGTGTGTACCCCCACATGCTGAGTCTGTCTTCAGTTCTGTGCATGCCTGCTCGCACTGTGTGTGTGGCTTAACACAGACGTTAATACCTGCCTTCCTCGCATTCCAACTCCAAGGGGAAACAAACAAGTGGGCAAGAATAATAGGGATGCAGGATAATGTGTGAGACGTAGGTAATAGCTGAGACTCCAGGTGGGCATGTGAGTGTGACTATAGTTCATTAAATTACATCATCTAAATGCAGTTCATTTTGATGTGGAGGGAGTTGAGATTAGATCATTTATTCTTCATATAAACACAAATGCATCCATTTCATGAAATGGTTGCTAAATTCTGTTTGAACTCTTTCCTCACAGGAGGAAAACTACAGTCATCACAGCTGTTTGTAGATTTTTTTTCCTTTTTTTTTTTACTAGCAACGGTGTCATGCATTCAGGCCGTAATGAAGGTTTAACAAGATCTGCTCAGTTGCCAAATAGAAGTAGGTCATTTTACAGCTACAAGTAATCTTGACATTAAATACAAGACGATCAGAGGGAAGATGCAGCATTTAAACCATTTGGGATCAGTGAATGAAAATCCTGACCTCATTTTAAAATGGTGTTTTTATATTTCGAAAGCCAATGATGCATTCATTATACTAATTAAACAGCAAAAAAAAAAACAAATTATAGAGAGGATAACTTGAACTTTTGGGCAGATGTTTACAGCGTTTATATTTTTTTTGTGTTCATCTTTAACAATAAAGGGCATCCAAAAAGTATTCAAGCACTTTGCTTTTCAAATATTTAGCTATATTAGAGGCTTATTCCAAATTAGGTCTGAAACAACTATTCAGCTTAATCGTGATGAATCAATTATTGAAATAATCGTCAGCTAAATTAATAATCGATTAATCATTAACTGGAATATAGAGACTCCTAAACATGTATTTAGCTGACAGAGCAACCCACTTGGAGAAGTAATTATACAAAAATGGTAAAAGAATTTAAACATTATGCATTTAAGATAAAAAAAAAAATTTTGATTTTTTTTTTGTTAGTCAATATGCTTTATCCAGAACTCTTAAAGTGGAAAAGTTTTAGTTTCATGTGGTTTAATTTCTTAAAAATCTTCTTTAAGGAACCTTTGGCTTTCCGATTATAAATCGATTATTGAACAAAATAATTGACAGATTAATCGATCTGCAAAATAATTGTTAGTTGCAGCCCTATTCCAAATAGTATTAAATGAATTCTTTTTATTAAAAAAATCTGAAAAACAACCATTTTGATATGAAAAAAACAATCTTTTGGAGATTGTTGCAAATTTCTTAAAAATAGAAAACTAAAAATTCCCACTGTTGTGAATCAAAACATTATCATATTGCTGAACAATCTGGGAGCAACATTACATTTTGAAATTAAACTAGTTTCTGTATCATTTCTTGGGGCTTCATAATACATCACAAAATATTACTCGATATCATAGCATCAAGATCACTGTAATATCTATAACGCAAAAGACTGGTCAGACTAAATGTATTTAAATTGGACAAATGGAAAAAAATATTACAGTCTTAATGCTAGAAATCTATGTAATGATGCTTGTTTAATGCAGCTGTTTTACACTGTATTTTGTGTTACAGAATTCTTGAATGAAAAAAACTATTCATCAAAATGCATTACATTGCCATTTCAACTTTTTTAAGTTAGCAATCTATGCATGTTTTA